TAAACAAACAACATATTTGAGATTGAAAACAACTTCATTGTCGACTGAAAAACTCTTAAAACTACATTTCATCCACAATAACAGTAGTATTTTTAAATTTCGCGGTCTTTCTCCTCTGCTATTGACGCAACTTGAGATTTTAAATATTAGATATAGAATATACACAATTTACATATACAATATGCAATTTAATTTAATCTTACCTTGCATATAGCAACGGGAGTTAGCATTATACATAAAGCTACCACATAATAACACTAAAACAGCTCACGTTAGCTACAAGTTATCGCGAGAACAGATTCAGATCAGGCATACTACTGGCATACTAATGGGGTCCTACGCCCGGACTATTCACACCGAGTAACCGGATTATTCACCACACCGGTCGGCCATGATGGTAGGAGACGCTATCGGTTGCCAGGGGCAACGCCTTCAGAACTTCACAGAGGCGCGACTAAACATTCCAGAAATAGCGAAAGAGAGACAGCGCAGCTTAGTATTTGTTTACATTTTACCGATACGCCGCAGTTTCTTTGGAAGATATGGAGAAGGACGAGAAATGAAAGGGGTTCTATCGGGAGAGACTAAAATAACAATGCTAGCCAGCTTAGAGAAACTGCTTGTCAATAAACTGACAGCAGCAACAGCGAGCAAAGCCTGCTTTCAAAAGCAACACATTTCAGCACAGTTCGCCTTTTATTTAACACAAACGAACGAAATTAATACTCTGTTATTCAACTAGAGTTGTTTCATTTGTAATAGATATATCTGTACCGCGAAATGTTTTAAAAAGACACTATTTTTAATGACGTACGATTCGCATTGACAGGGGAATGTCCGATCTGTTCGCTTAACGTTGCACGGCAGGTGCAAATGCACGTATCTGATTCATATCAGATTTATTTCCACATGAATGAGGCCTGAATGAAACATCAAGTATGACTGAACTCTCGCAGCAGTTTAACGTTACAGGTTCGGGGGTTTCTAAGTCTTGCACCCAGCCGCAGCAGACTTGTTCAGCTTCTAATGACTTAAAGCTTCTGAACTCTTGCATTGTGTAGGCAGTAACGTTAGTCACTGATACCATAAACAAACCAGGTAATTAACTATGTCAGCGTATGTGAAAGGTGGTAGTGCTTTGGGTCTTTCGTCCATTCTGTAGCAGGTCGTACGGGTCCATGTTGATGTCAAGTAGTTTCTCTAAATAACGCTGCTTGGTGTTGTTATTTAGTCTCTCCCGATAGAGCCCCTTTCCTTTTGCTTCCCCCTTCTTCATTTATTCCCAAGAAACTGTGCCTTATCGCAAAAATGCAAACAAATATCAAGCTGCTCTCTCTCTCTGTCGCTATTTCTCTCGGTCTCACGGTCGAAGTAACCATGACAACGGGTAGCGTATACTACCAAGATGGCGAATCCTTCCTACAATGCAACGCGGAGTGATACGCGTGACGTCACCTTCTCATTCTCAATATTTTCTTTGTATTCTATTCTCAGTGTTGGGAAAGTTCATTTTCTACATGAACTAGATCAAAGTTCAGTTCACAAATTTTAAAATGAACTATTTCAGTTCATAGTTCACTTCATACTTAAAAAAATGAACTAGTTTATAGTTCTTTTTTCCATATGTTGCTGCGAGATTTAAAAAAAAAATTAAAAAAAAAATGTATTGCCACAGCCCATATACAACCACAGACAGCAATTATTTTATCGACGGGCAAATTTTGCACAGAAATGTCAGATTCCCATCCTCACCGACCTTGTCATAAAACTCGTTTAAATGATCACACTACGCCTCCTCGCTCGCTGCTTTGTCGACTACATGCTGCTTCTTGTCTTGATGACTCATGCGGCGGCCGCGGTGCGACACTGGTGGCTGGTGTTGCCAGATTGGGTGTTTTTTTCGCGTGTTTTAGCCAAGGGGGTAATCCATCGACCGGAAGTTGAAGCCGGCCGGGTGCCGCCATGTTGTAGTAGAACTTCACTTGCGTTAGCATTTCCATTGACTCCCAGTCATTTTGGCGTCACTTTGACAGCGAATAACTTTACATCTGAGGCGTTTAAAGACTCCATTTGTCCATTATTTATTTCTAAAGAAACACGACAATGTATAAAGGGCTCCATTACCTTCTATGTTACATTATGGCCCCGTAGAAACAGATTTAGTAAAAATAGGCTAACGATTGCGTCATAACCACTCGACTCTCTGTCGCGCTGTACAGAAATTACCGTACAGACAGGAGGAGAAGCTCGCAGGCAATCGGGGGGACGTCCCGTCAAGGGAGAAGCCCATAGATAATGAGTCCATAAAAGCAACGGAATACTTACTCCTGCTCACTCTCGCCAAAGAACTCTTTCCTCAAGTTCCCCCGTCTCTGCAAGATTAACGTTGGCAGTTTTCACGCACAGCTACTAGAAGATTTACATCTGTCAGACAGGTTGCTCACGTCATCAAGCTTAGTTTGAGTCGGTCTGAGTCTGCGCGTCAGGAACGGAAGTTCTCAAAAATCGCTAAAAGTGGGCTTCAACTGTCTCAACTGAGTTCCAATGAGATCGCTCTGTCCATTTCTTTTACTGTCTATGGTTTTAGCCGGGTTTTCGACTGGAAGGCTCTATAGAAATCTGGCACCCTATTGAACGAAGTTAAACTGAGAGAGCGTGCGTTCACAGCATAGACAGTAAAATAAATGGACACAGCGACCCCGTTGATTTCAACGGAGAGAGTTGAAGCCAAGGGGGTAATCCATCAGCCGGAAGTTGAAGCTGCCTCCGGGGGCCGCCATTGTAGCTGGCTATCACCTGCTGTTAGCATCCCATTGACTCCCATTCATTTTGGCGTCACTTTGACAGCGAATAACTTTACATCTGAGGCGTCCAACGACTCCATTTGTCCATTATTTATTTCTAAAGAAACACGACAATGTATAAAAGGCTCCATTACTTTGTATCTTCCGTTATGGCCCCGTAGAAGCCATTCTTGTAAAAATAGGCTAACGATTGCGTCATAACCACGGGACGCTCTGTCGCACAGTAGAGAAATTACCGTATAGACAGAAGTAGAAGCTCGTAGGCAATCGTTTACTGTCTATGAGGCAATCGGGTGGACATGGAGGCATAAAGTCAAGGGAGAAGCCCATAGATAGAGAGTTCATAAAAGCAACGGGACAAAATATTTCAACAACAGATTTGTTTCAGATTTCAATTCAGATTTGTCCCGGCACAGCTACTAGAAGGTCAGAACGGTTGCTCACGTGACAACTACGTCGTCAAGCTCAGTTTGAGCCTGCGCAGAACGCTTGGCTATCAGGAAGTGAGTGCCCATGTTGGGCTTCAACTCTCTCCGTTTAAATCAACGGGGTCGCTGTGTCCATTTCTTTTACTGTCTATGGTTGAAGCCCAACATGGGCACTCACTTCCTGATAGCCAAGCGTTCTGCGCAGGCTCAAACTGAGCTTGACGACGTAGTTGTCACGTGAGCAACCGTTCTGGTTACAAGAGGTAAAAACGATATAAATACTGTTCGTTTTCTCACACAAACCGCTCGTTTCGTGTCTTAGGCCATCAATGTGTACTTACATTTACGAGTCATTAAATCATGTTTAATTGTGCTTTCTACGTTTAAAATAGCTTTCTCTTGGTTACTTCTCTGCCCATACATTTGTTTGGTCTTCACTGCTCTTCCAAGTTTCAAGGATTGCCAAACGTGTATAAATGTATATTTTCTCCATTAACATATACCTACAATGTCTGTTATATTTATTGCAATTCAACAGGTGCTTGTATACTTCGCATGATAACTTTTTCAGAAGCAGTCCAATGTGTGTATATCTAACAGTAGATTTTTCTCACTGTTAAAATCTTCACACCTTGAGACACTTAACCAACTTCATGTGCCCAAAACCTGTAGGCATATGTACCTGTAGGTACATATTGTCTTACATGAACAATTTCTCAGCATATAAACTTAACTTTCCTCTTCTGCTGTTATGTGTCCACTTTTCACTCTGTGTTTTGTTGAAGTATGCCATAGATAAAACCATCTTCCAGTAATATCTTGTGGGCTACTTCACTGCTCTAATTAAAATAGTTTGCAATATCCTGACACCTTGTGGTGAAGATTGGCATTGGCACTTTTCACCTTAAATTCATGTTTTTTTGTTATTCAGTGAAATTGAGAACCGTTCGTGTGTGTGTGTACATATAATAAATCCACATAAATATAAATCTATATAGCATAAAGTATTTGCCATATATGTGTATGTATATTTCATGTATGTTTATTGTCATTGACGGCTGCATTAAGACTCTTTCTTTTTGTATCCCAGGAGTTAAAATGTATTTTAACCCAACATTTCTCTATGTCGTTTTTTTAAAGCAATAAATCTACTGCGAAAATTACGCGAATAAATAATTAAGCAAACCAGTAGGCTACCAATCTGCCCTGTGATCCGATAGAAATGCTAAAATACCTACATGGACAGCAAATAAAACGCTTTAAAGTTTAAACCGTTTAAACATACCGGTAGGTGGTAAAGAGAGACCGTACGAATGAATAAACTGATTAATCAACGTTGTAAGTATACGTCATGACGTTTAATCAAGACGGCGGATGGAGATGATGTTGTGTTGGCAGTTTGCGTTCCTGCTCTGCTACATGACTTCTGAGCATTGAGATGATAATGGGCTACACAACGCGGCTAACGTGAGCAGTTCGTTGCCAAATGACTCTTATTCAACTCTCTATGTTGACTCGTTTCGCTTGAAAGCTCATATGAAGCGCAAAGTGAAGTTTCCAGATATGATGTAAAGTAAATGTTGAAAAGATTGGTAAAATATAAAGAGAAAAAATACGGTTTACTTTCCTCTATTTAAAATCACAGTTACCGTTTCTGCTATTGAAAGTTTTTTTGCTGTCAAGCAGACAAAATATTAAAAGGAACGGAACTATTTCTTTAGGAAATCTCTTTTGGCGGAAGGATACAATACTTCAGTGCGAGACACGAACAGGTGTATGACGCAAAACAGTCGGTCTGTCCACCATCACAAAACCCGAGTTACAAGTTCACATCCCATACTTGCACCGTATCCGCAAAATATATGCTTAATTGTACAACGAAGTACATATCCTCAGAAAGCAGATTCAGCATGACGTAAGGTAAGAAGATGGATAACATTTGTTGTTTCGCTAGCTCGGTGGCTAATCGTAGCGGCAAGTGCATTGATTAACGTTACTGATGCTTGGATGGCTTTTGCCAGCCAGCGACCAGTTAGTATCTCAGAGCTAAAGCGGGCTATCATACATTTTTATTGTACTGTTTACGTGTCATTTTACGTTAGATGTATTTTCTCAGTAACGGTATCGACTGTGAAAGCGGCACACAGATTTGAATGTCCTCTCAGAAGTACTTTGCACGTATTGAGAGCAGTATGTTCATATTTGGAGGGCTTGGTTGCTATAATTTGCCCTATATGTGTGCATGTAATAATACTGAATACAAAATAATATTATATTAAGGAACGAACATTATTCTTGTTCAACTCGTGAAGTTTGCTTGTCTGACAGCAGCAGTGTTTTGACAGTGCGCAACTTAGTTGAAACGCACTCTTGTACGATTGCAGATGATTGTCCTCTAATGTCGCTGCCTGAGGGGATAAGTTACATTTCCTGTATTTTATTAGGTTCGGTTTCCCCAAACCCTTATTAGTACAGCAGGTCCGTTATTCTGAATGATTAATTGTGAACTGCACCCGTGCGATAGTTCGCGAACTCGTTTCAGGTGCCATATGGTAAAATGACTCGTCCTGCCATTGATTATTCCTTTTTTAAAGGTCTCCAAAGAATGTAAATGAAGAATACGGCCGTACTGGTCACATCATTTCTTCTCTGGGACACAAAATATGAACCTAGACATTCAGAATATATTGTACTGACAGCTTTAGTCACCATTTACTTTCATTGCACATTTTTCCATAAAGTGAAAGGTGACGGAGACTCTTATTCTGCCTTGCATCTCTTTTTGTGTTGTGTTCCACAAAAGAAAGTCATGTGTGATGACTAATTTACTTTTCTTTCATTGTATTAGAATAATAATTAGTTTATTTTTTAAATAGTTAAACTATTAATAAAATAGTTTAATATTTCTCCTTTTTTTATTTGATTCTCTTCCACAGTGCTTCATAGGATTGTAGTTCTTTACCTCACTGAAGCTGTTAAAGGTGCAGTAAGCAATTTCTGGTAAACGCTGTTCATATTTACAATTGCCAATACAAACAAGCCCCTACCCAAAAAGATCACACCCCTATTTTGATGCCTCCACCCCCATGTTCACTAGCGTGTGCCGTGTGCAATACAGGCAATGAGAATGAGAAAATCTGCTGTGCCTGCCGCTCGATGGTATGATGCCATCAATAAGTGAAAGCAGTTTGTTACTATGATAATTCAGGTTTAATGTCTAATTGTAATTTAAAGGGGTCATGAACTGGATTTGTTATATATATATATATATATATATATATATATATATATATATATATATATATATATTTTAGAGATGCATCGATTGATCGGCTGGTGACCGGAATCGGCCGATTTTCATGTGATCGGCCATGATCGGCGACCGGCCGGTCAGTCTGACATAATCCGATTTTATGCCGGTCAAATGCACTCGGGCGCCGCACGATTAACATCGCGCAACATCAACATCACACTTGCGCACGGAACGCGCACATGTAGTAACGGCCGTTTCACACCGCAAGCGGGAGCAGCGCGTTTTTTTTTTGTTCGGCGTGCATGTTAATCAATGAGTGCATTCACACCGGGAGCCGGAGCAGCGCGTGAGCGTTGAGCAGGAGCGTCGCGTGAGCAAAAGTGAAGCGCGGGTTTCGGCGCCGAGTCTATTTTTGCTGCGCTCAATTTAAGTGAAAGCACACTTTTGATGGACAAAATAAATATGATTTCATCCAAAATGCACAGAATTTGCATGTTTTAACAAGAACTGAAGTAGGCTAGGCTATGTCAGAAAAGAAAATGAAGAATCAAAAATATTTATAGAAAATTTACCCATTTAAACTTGTTTTTATCGTTTCCCTGCACATGCTCCACTTGTCCTGTTTAGCTTGGCTGGACATGTGTCAGATGAGAGAAGAACTGTTTGAGAAATATAACTTGCCATTGATGTACAAGTGATTGCAATAGGCCTGTGTGTGTGTGTGAGAAATATCTTTATACTGCAAGGCTATATTTATTTTATTTATATATTATTTTATTGCCATTACCTGTTTTCATACAGAAGTTTAGTTTGCTAAATATATCAACTTTTTTTTAGTTGGATATTGGATGTGAAACGGAAATGGTTCTTCCATAACAGTGCACTTTAGATGTGTGTGAATTTCCCACACCAGGAGTAATTTATATAGTTCTATTTTATTGCGATTATCTGTTAAAAAAAAATTTTATGCAAAATGTTATATTAAAGAGAAGATAGAAAATAAATATTTGTGTGTGCTGTAAAGTGGTTTGAAAAAATGAAATCGTAATCGGCTAAAATCGGTATCGGCAGGTCAAACTCAAGGAAAAATCAGAAATCGGGATCGGCCTAGAAAATTGTAATCGGTGCATCTCTAATATATATATATTAGTGCTGCCGCGATTAGTCGACTTAATCGACCATTCAAATTAGTCGGCGCCAATTTTTTTAGTCGACGTGTCGTTTTACTATTGACCGCATATTTATTTTTGGTCTCCCGTCTCAAACGGCTCACTGTAATTCACCTCCACACACCAGTCTGTGCGCTGTGTGCGCCCTGCTGTGCTGGTTAATCTGCTATAATCGTCCTTCTCCCTCCCCCGCCTTCACTGCTTTGATATGAAAAATTGCGGAGGCAGGTGATGGTGCTTTCACACTGGGCTCGTTTGCTGCGGTCCGAGCCCGCGCGCGATTGTTCCCGGCGCCCCCGCAGCGTTGGTCTGGTTTCACACTCAACTGAATTCTACCGAACCCTGGTGTGTTTGCGTGCATCTTACGCCATCGCAAACGTGCATGCGCGTGATAGAAAACAGACCGCGGGTCAATATATATATATATATATATATACATATATATATATATATATATATAGGCCTATATATTTTTTTTTTTATTAATTCTGTGCTATTATGCGCAGCTGAGTGAACAACACAGGTGCGTGTGTCGCATAAGGTGGCCTTCTGCTGCTTGCAAATGGACTCTTTTGAGGAGACTCTTTTCCAGATTTGTTGCCCTTATTCCACGCGCTAAGCGCGAATACACTGCAGACTCGCTCTCGCTCGTATCCAAGGTAAATCATCAACACTATCATCCCTTACATGTGTTTTATTTAACTAAATACATAATCACCTAAAACGCGCACCCGAGTCCATGTTGCTTTCACATTCACACGAACCGCGGCACGGGCCCGGCATGCACGCAAGTGTAAACGCGAGCTGCATATCAGCGTGCCTGCCTGCTTTCAGTGCGATTCATTATAAGGCAGAGCTAAGTGTAGTAGGCTAGTCCAGACTCTTTCAATTCAATTCCAATTTATTTGTATAGCGCTTTTCACAATACATATTGTTTCAAAGCAGCTTTACCTAAAATGCATGCATTGCATCTACTTTAGCCTACAATTCAGAGTGATGTTATCAGTTATGCATTTCAGAAATGTACATATAAAAATGTACAGTAAGCTAATGTATTAATTTAAGGCAGAACAAAGAGCTAATTAAAGTAATGAATACATGCATGTTTGTTAATAGAGGATTAGATTAGGACTCTGACTAATATGGTATAGCCTAATGGAAATGCAGATACTTATGCTTAGATTGTTAATACATAGCTAACTTTAACTTGCCGCGACTGGGAGATCCATGTATGCGCACTGAAAGGCTTTCACTCAGCGCGCACACTGTTACAACAACGGGCTTTGAGTGAGTCATTCGTTCATTCAACGAACACGTTCAAAAAAGCTGATTCATTAAAAGAGATGTAATGAAACAAGGTGTTAATTATTTTTAACTTTGAGTTCCACTTTTCAAGGCTCAGCTGAGCAGCAATGCGTCGCATGGGTAACGCTGAAGCTGATGCTTCACTTATTAGAGACCAATATGGCATTGATTCAATGCGTGACTCGCTGATTTTATTTCCCCGCGGCTTCCTCGCGCTGTGGAATGCTGACCAGGGGTGCCTTTCCCGAAAGCATCGTTAGCCAACTATGGTCGCAAATCCCATTGAACTCTATTGGTAACAACGGAACTTGCGACCATAGTTGGCTAACGATGCTTTCGGGAAACGCACCCCAGCGCTGCTCCTGACGCGCATTTATGGTAAATACCCGTGACGTGAACGCTAAAAGGATATGACGACAAATATTTCGCTTTCCTTTGACACGGCAACCTTTTTCACGAATACATATGACTTCAAAGACAGACGCAGGTAATCGCACGCGCTCTGCCGATCTCTCTCATTCACTGTCTGACTGTGCGAAGCCTCTTTAGGCTACACATCACCACGATAAACATTCTTGTTTGTTATCATTATGAACTTGTTTAACATTCAATACACATGCATGAAGTTCAAAACAAGCAGTTAAATGTCTATAATAGCCTAATAGTATCAATATGTTGCATAACTACAGTCCTGTAATTCAGGTAACAGCTGGAAAAAACAAAAAAAACTCATATCTAAATCTCGAAAATCGGATCAGATCGGATAATCTGATCCGATCGAATAATATCATTATCCGATCGAAAATCGAATAATGATAATCGATTCAAGATCTTGAGAATCGGAATCGAATCGATTCTTGAAATTTGAATCGAAACCCAGCTCTAGTCGAAAGATTAGTCGTTATAAAATTAGTCGTTAGTGGAAGCACTAATATATATATATATTTGGGCCGGGACTCGATTAAAAAAATTAAACTAATTAATTAGAGGCTTTGTAATTAATTAATCGAAATTAATCGCATTTGAATCGCATATATATTTGACCTGAAAACAGTGAGAAGTAATTTTTTTCACATGGATTTTTAATATACCATTGAATAATGACGGAATACATAAGCTTAAGCAACACAATATTGTTTATTTTTGTTCAACCAAGTCCAGCAGACCAGTGCAATTTTTGCCATTAAGTGTAG